AGTTTTTCCTAATATCCAACCCAGACCTCCCCCACTGCAACTTGAGACCATTGCTCCTCGTTCTGCCATCCGTCACCACTGTGAACAGCCTCTCCCCATCTCCTCTGGAACCTCCCTTTAGGAAGTTGAAGGCTGCTATCAAATCCCCCCTCACTCGTCTCTTCTGTGTGCGACCGGGGACAAACCATTTAACTTTCACGCCTCGGTTCTGGACAGCAGGCACCTAAACTAGCAGCCCCTTTGTCAGAAGTGGTGAGCTCCCACAGCTGGGATGGACTGAGTTCTCATAAAAGCCTATCAGCTGAGGAGGCCATCAAGTGCCCAAAATGAACCACCCACATTTGAAAGTGACCCAATCAGTATTAAAATATCTCCAGGGCACAGCAAATGCTTCAAATGACACAAAAAGTGATCCGCTGTTTGATAGTTTAAATGAATAACATAAGAACAGAACAGAACAACGGCCATCCTGGGTCGGACCAATGGTCCATCTAGCCCAGTATCCTGTCTCCTGACAGTGGCCAATGCCAGAAGCCCCAGAGGGAGGGATCACAACAGGGAATCCTCACGTGATCCCTCCCCTGTCACCCACTTCCAGAGAAACAGAGGCTAGGGACACCATTCCGACCCATCCTGGGAATGAAGCCCAGAGCGGCTAAGCACTCAAAGTCATACATTTGCAAAGTCAGCAGCTTGGCTCCCCCAGAAGTCCTGGCTCCCGTGATCTTAACCAGACGCTAATCTTGGCCCAGTTGGTGGAGGAAAACACTGTGGAAATCCTGTAGCAATCATAAGAAACTAGCAGAACGTGTCGTCTCTCCCCACTTTCGGATAGCAGGCTACTATACTAACGGAGGACGTTACTCCCGGAGTTCCACCGGTAGAGGCCTATGCTGAAGGGTTGTGGTTCAAACCCCCTCTCTCTCATATAGAACTTTTCATCAGTAGATCCCACAGCATTTAGGAAAGGATGTAACGATCCCTATCCCCGTGTGACAAATGGAAAACGAGGCCCAGAGAGGGGAATGGGATCCATGTCCCTTTTGGACAGAGCACTGGACTGAGACTAAACACCATGTTGCTTCCCGTAATCTGGGCCCATTATGCTCCTGGCTCCAACGGACTCCCTGGTCTTCCAGGAGCGCCATATTCAGGGAAGAATTTGGGCCCCAGTCCTGAAGCGAGAGAGAATTCCTCATGCTCAGCACGTACAGAGTTGGGCCCAGGGACTTAAGACTACCCTAAGGGGGGAGAGGGTATTTTGGCCCTCTTTGAAGCTCTGCAGAACCCCAGAGCCAGACGTGGTCTCTCCTCGGATATGCTCTTGCACCCACCGCTCATTGTTTTACACCCCTCCTAGGTACAAACTGAAGATCTCAGGCTACAGCTACCTCCGGGCCATGAGGTTCGCAGTGGAACAGATCAACAATTCCAGTACCCTGCTGCCTGGTGTCTCCCTAGGCTACGAGATGGTCGACGTCTGTTACTTCACCAACTCCATTCACCCCATCTTGTATTTCCTCTCCAACCAGCACGCTGTGGTGCCGCTGCACAGTAACTACACTCACTATCTCCCACGGGTGCTGGCTGTCATCGGCCCAGACTCCTCACAGGCAGCTGTCACAGTGGCCCACATATTGAGCCTCTTTCTCGTGCCACAGGTACGTAGGTGCCCATACTAGGGCAGGACAAACCTTCCAAGGCTTGCCCCCTAACGACTGCCTGAACATTTTCCCTGGGCGTTGATTGGAAGGGAGAGCAGCAGCCCCCAGTGGCTTCAGCATGCTCAAACCTCCCAGTGAGGCGTGCCCAAGACACAACTGGCTGGTCTCCTCGCTTGGGCAACTCCTTAACTTTCTGGAACTGGGACATCCTCCAGTTCTGTAGCATAGACCCAGGGTCGGCCCACAACATTTTGGTACCTGAGGCGGGGAGCTCAAATGATGCCCCCATGCTCCAAAACTTTGAAAAGTCTCAATTCTTCCCTTCTTCCTCCAGCACAGCACTTCACCATCTCTGTGAATCTAGAGCAGAGAGACTACATATTCACCAGCAGCAGACACAATTTCTACACTCTGGGTCCTAGTGGAGCCCCCTCAGTCTGGCACCTGAGGCGGCCATCTCAGTTCGCTTCTTGGTGAGGCCAGCCCTGTGTAGACCAGCCCCTAATTTGCGCAGTGGAACAGCATTAAGGTGACAATTCAGAGAAAGCCAGTCCGTAAGGCGGGGGCGGAGAACCATTTTTGGGCCACTGACCCACAGAAAAATCAGTCGGGGGCTGCACACAAGTGAGAAGCAAAAAACAAAACCAAAAAAACCCCTCACTGACCTGCCCCCCCCTCAGCTGAGAAGGAGAAAGACACTCCTCACATTCCCTTCGCACACCAGAGCATAGAGGGGCCTAGGCTAGTAGATTTTGTGAGCTCCAACCCTGTGGTAGGGCGGCAGGGGGGCTGGAGTGCAAGCACAGGCTCCCTAATGCTGGGGGGAGTCAGGCAAGCCAGGGGCCACATCAGGCCCCCGGGTCTGAGGTTCCCCCACCCTTGCCCTAAGTCAATACACCCTCTACAACTCAGACATGACTTGCACCCTGTACAACATCTTTGGCTTTGTTTAACAGATTCCCTTCCCTGTTCTTCCCTGCCCCCAGATCTCTTACACAGCCACCACGGACACTCTGAACAGCCATGAAACCTTCCCCGCAGTCTTCCGCGCCACCTCCGGCATGGAGCAGCAGATCGTGGCCATGCTGCTCCTGCTGAGGAAGTTCAAGTGGAACTGGATTAACGTTCTGTACAGCGACGATGATTACGGGCGGCAGAACCTGAAGCTCCTGAGGGCCCGGGCCAGGGGGATCTGCGTGGCCTTGCAGGACATCATCCCCGTGCCCCGCAGCAGCCAGCTGCTCCCGCAAGACTTGGAAGTGAAGATCCAGGCCATTGTCCGCAACGTCATCGCCAGCACGGCCAACGTGGTCATCGTCCTGTCCTTGGAGATGACGCTGCCGTTCTTCTTCCAAGAAGCCATCCGCCAGAATGCCTCGGACTTGGTGTGGATCGCCAGCGAAGCCTGGGCCATTGAGCCTACCCTGCACAACATCACTGACATCAGGAGGGTGGGCACCATCCTGGGGGTGGCTGCAAAAGAATTCTCCATCCCTGGCTTCGGCGACTTCAGGGTCGGCCAGGCAAAAGGAACCAATTGGCAGCCGGGGGACCAAAACACGTGCAACCAGGAGTGTGACCAGTGCATCAGAGCTGCCCGAGCTGCAGACCAGAGTCTGAGAGCCCAAGGCGAGCGAATAGACTTCAATGTCTACTCTTCCGTCTACATTGTGGCTCTTCCTTTACACAGACTGCTGGGCTGCAACGCCACCGGATGTCACAAGCGGCCAGTTTACCCCTGGCCGGTTTGGCCCA